CCGGAAAAAACGGCAAATCTGCACATAAGTGGACACAAATCATCATCTGGCTAAGAGATTGATCCATCTTAAGTCCGCATGAGGTGGGACTTCAAGTTACAGCAAACGGCTGCCTCCTCGAAGGTAGACTACCGCGAACTCAATCCAATCCCACCATCCTCTACAGATTAGTACCACTATTAAAGAGTTGCTAAGGTTTATTCGTAAATGCTAAGTAATAGGAAAGATAAAGGTATTGCGGTAGCAAGTAGTGTTACTATCCTGCTTATGGGACTCCAGATCGAATTTCGTCCGAGCAAACAAATTCCTTACCTTCTGCATTACCTGATTTTCAAAAAGCTCATTAGAAAGGATAAAACGCTAATCTTCAAATCGAGTAAAATCTCCGCAGGCTCAGATCGACTCAATTAACATTCAAACGCCACTGCGATTGAGAAGGGAAGTCGAATATGCGGCGCATTTCAGAAAGTGGCAAAGAAATGGATAATCCGATAATTTTTAATAAAGTTCATGCATATATATATTCTATGTATAATATTATATATACATATTGATTTGCTATCGCTTTTCTGATGGCTGATAGTTTCAGAGAAAAATTTTCCAAATGGACCTATAGAATATTTCCCATTTCAATGCTTTTTGAAGCCTGTTTTTTTTTTCATAAAAGCGGTTCTTCTGTTCTGTTTCCACTCGCATTTATTGTAGCGCGATTTTGGAGCGCTAAGATTGAACAAATAAATAAACAAATAAAATAAACTGTTAGTTACCTCTCGATTAGCTAAAAGATCTCCTCCATCAAAAATACAGTATCATTATATTTGTGTCCTGACTACTATCCTGCACTATTTTCTAATCACATAGCGCTAAGAAACCACGAAAAACCACTCTAAAAATGGAAAGCTTTGGTGATATTTTGCTGGTTTTGAACGCGACCATAGGCGCAACCGTGGCCACGTAGCTCGCTTGGCTACTTTCATCAATGGATCGCTATCCATGAACAAAAACTCTATGTTTGCGTTCACGGTCACGTTGGCAAGCACTGAATACCGTGCGTCCGTGCGCCCTCCATCCACTTCCAACCTGCGCTTCTAAAAGGTATAGCCCACGGTCAATAGTTAGCCAGCCCTCTCTTAAAATATAACCAATTTCTGATATACGGGTTTCCCTCTAGGTTTCTCATTGTCGTATTTCAAGCAGTGCTCTCTGATCCATCAATCGATGAGTTGACCTTGATCCCAGCCGTCTAACATCAACTGTTGACAACCTCGACTGGCCATTTCACTGATGACTTCATTCCTGTCACACCGGAAGGCATCTTCCATACATTTACTACAACTAAACAATTCGATGTTCCGTTGACATGTCCTGCTTAGTACTGTTTTCATCACGATTTTCCTTCAAATATATGAAATTTTTGTTATTTAAAAATTCAATTAAGTTTAAACCTTTGATGTTAAAGACTAAATTTATTGATACATTATTATGGGGGAGGGGGTCAAACAAAGAGTAGTCTCCTTTATGTTTCGCACGTGCCCTTAGACGGAAACTAGTCAAATAATGTGTCCTCCCTTAGTGCTCAAATTGTTTTCTTTAATCAGTGCTATTTTAATTTTAGTTCCATTTTTTTAGTTTTAATTTTAATTGACCATTCGATTAACTTTATGGACAGCTTGACGGGCCATAAAAATTCTCAAATTAGTTTTGGTCTCACAAGTGAACTTCATGCCTCGTCTGAACAGCTGACGCTGGTTCCGCAGCATTTTTTGGTGCTGCTCCCTTGTGATGTCCTGAGGCTAAAGTAAAAGGTCTCTAATAAACATGAAGAAACTTTTCAGAGTTTCCCGCTCTGTAAGTTCCTTTAGCATTCACATGCTGAAATCGTTAAAAGCATTGAGGAAGAAAGGACAGCATGGAAAATTATTTTCCAGAAGGTTTAGTTGTCAAATATTCAGCATGTTTTGCAGAAATTCAAAATATTATTTTTCAAGCATAGCTCGAAGAAATATCAGAGAAATCTTTTTTTATTTACCACTCTTTACTGGGTTGCTGGAAAAATATAACTAGCACTTCATTCTTCAATATTATAATAATATTATATTTTTGTTATTTTAATAAGTTCATAAATTTATAATTTCAATTTTTTTAATAATTTACGGATTTTTGATGAATTTATTTTTTTATATTTTTCATGCCAGTTAGTTTTGATACAAATTTATTCAAAAAATCATTGCATTGTATAAATTTATTCATTCCTCGAAAATATATTTCATGCTAATTAGTTTTGGTATTTTTCTTGATTAGACATACGTATGTTTTAACAATTTTTTTTTCAAAAAAAACTATATTATATGAATTTATTCAATTTTTTATATTTTTCATGCCAATTAGTTTTGCAATTTTTTCTTTATTGGACGTCTGTGTGAAGCATTAGAGTTCATGTAGTATGAGGAAAAAAGTGTATTTACACAGGACCCTGTGGGTGGAGGTGCAGTTATCGACATGGGTGGGCTAGCGGCACAGCTTTGTTCGCTGTATTGATCGACCTTGGCCAAAAGGCAGAGAGCCGTCAGCTGATAACAGGCCAAATGAATCCCAGGTCCGAGCGAACGACTCGGGTACACTGTGGCAGCTTTGTGCACGCTGGGCGTCCGATCGAATCACTAATTTTCCGCCATCCGGGTTCATTGCTATGAACTTCGGCGTAGTGCGTGGGTTTGTGTAGAGCAGCGCCCTTCTTGAAATTAGCTGTTTCTCCCGCCAAAGCTGGACTTCACGCTCATTTGCGCTAGTTGGCGCCTTTTCATGCTGGCTGGCGCACCTTTACATTCAAGAGTGCACGCACAAGTGCACTGATCATACACCGAAAAGCGTTAATTGTCTTCAACCCAGATCACTATCTCTTAAATGTAGACCTTGCGAGGTACTGTAAGCAGGCTATCTCTTCGGGACATATTAATAAAGTTTTACCACTCATTTCATATCAGATAATAATTTGCAATGCATAGAATAATTAACAAACAACAAATCATTAGTTTCCGCTAAATCTCTATAAAGAGAGATTCTCAATATTCTTTTCAGGCGTGACCTTAAGTGAGTTTGTAGGCTTTATTATGTCATACGTAAGTCATACAAAACTATAGGATCCAATTACTCCAAGTCCCTCAAATACTGCTGTGTACAATGGGTCCTATAACGGTAATGGGCACTGTAACGTGATAGCACTGATAAGGAATAGCGACTTGTACTACTCATTACGTCCAATTGTTTTCATTGCGTTCTATTACACTTTCTGCAGCTACTTCTCCAGTCTCTTTTCCGGTTTCTACCTTCACGATGATGAATCAGTTCAAATCCTTTCAATCTGTTAAAAAGCTAAAGCCTATGCCGGATGAGGTACACATGTGCTTATCGATCGTGGTTCCCCAGTTGTGGCTGGTGTGTTCGATTCGAAGCGAACGCTACTTTTTCACTTTCTCAGACCTCGACCTGCATCTCGTCGTCATTCTCGTGCTCGTCATACTCCTCCTCCTCATCATCATCATCCTCCTCCTCCTCCTTGCGGCGCACATATCAGTCTGCGGTCACTCGCACGGGTGTACGGTCGGGCGGGAGTATTGTCTTGTGAGGTTTCCTGAATCAAGAAAATCTATCATAATTCATCTTCATCGTATTGTTTTCGGTGTGAACTAAACTCAGCGCATGTGATATGTATGGACAAGTGTTGGAAGGGGTAAGTATAGTAATTTTCTTTTGAAATTTCTTAAAATTACTTTTTGATTACTTTTAAGCATTTGCTCGCCGTCGAATCGTTCTCCTTTATTTTTTTACTGACTGATTCCTAATTCGACTCGAAAAAGTTGTTTGTTCTATTTTTTAGAAATTCTCTTATTCGTTACTGCACAGTTTTGTTTATAGTGGCCCTAAACTTTTCATTTAGATGGCCGCGCTCAACTACAAAACCGACGATAGCAGCGGCATGGTATTTCTGTCTGGGAACTCCCATCCGGAACTTTCACGGCTAGTTTCGGAGTAAGTTTTTGCTAAACTTGTCAGTTCTTTTACAAGTAGAGCACGAATCCTCCCTAATCAATACTACGGGAGTTACATTTTTGGCTTTTTGGATTGGAACCGTTAGCACACTATCCAGCGGGTGTGGTTCGCTAGAACAGAAAGCGTTTTTTCTCGCTTTTCGCAGCGCGAAACTTTTTTCGCTGCGGGAACCTCAGGTCCACCGCTGATCAGGAGTGGACCTGGTTCTTGCAGCGAAAAATGTTTCGCGTGCGAAACGCGAAAAGTTGCTTTCTGTCCTAGTGAACCACGCCCCTACCCGGCAATTAAATATGGCACGGGTTCCATTCTCGCCCTCAACAAAGTGTTTCGCCCAATCTTTGCTATAATTTTGCAGAAAGTCACTCTTCAAATTTGTGATTTTTAACCGAAATTTTTGGTTTTTCTGTTAAAAAATGATTAATTTTGTATCTGGTCTCTCAATGTACTATCGTTGGTTTACAACAACAGTTACAGGAAACAAATCACCATTTAATTAGTACTCGTGATCAATCTTTGTGCGGAGGAAGAAAATACATAGCGAAACATTTGAAAACATTAGGATACTTGCAAATTTAGTGTACAAAGTAAATCAAGGGCGTTAGGCTCAAGGCTACAGCATGTTTGGAGAAGAGATGGTCTCGTAAGGAAGGTTGGAAGCGTGCTTCATGAGTGATTTTAGTACGAAAATTTAGTTAAACTGTAAAAGCATGGGGTCTCATCCAGTAAAGGGATGAGCAAATGTTATGCCAGCTCTTCTCGCCCGAAGGAACCCAATTTTTCGCACGGGGCAGAGCTCCCGGATGGGTGTGAGAACGAAAGTGAAATGCTCACACACCCCGAGGATTTTTTTCCTGCAAAAATGATTGAAGGTCGCACCACATGCCTCCTTTCTCTACTATCGATGAGTCCTAATGCATCAAAACTTGGGAAATAATGGAGAAGAACGGGCAAATAGAAAGTTCGTACCCTTTAACATAGAACTTATACAACTACTCATTTTTATCGCTTCTGTTGTTGTTGACGCTGCTTGTAAAAATTTTAAATCGTGATTTGTGTTTCAGTCGGCTAGGTATTCGTCAGGGTGAAGTGATCGTTTATAACAAGACAAATAGAGGTGAGTTGACCTTTTTGTCGTGATTTTTCTAGAAGTTTTGATATATTGATTATTTAAGAAACTTCTGTCGACATCAAGCAATCAGTGCGTGGGAAGCATGTTTTTATTCTTCAGAGTGGCTCGAAGTAAGTTAATCTCACTTGTTTAAATTTTCTATTTTTCCTTCCTTTTCCTTTCTCCCTTTTTACGTTCCTTTCAATGGTACTGTATTTGTTCTCTTTGGAATAGAGGATGGCTTTCCTTATTTTCTCATTGAAATGCAATTCACTATCTCGAATTCTAATTCTTAATTTGAATAAGCATGCTTGAATTCCTCAACTGCTGGGCAAGCACGTATTTAAAAACGTCAAGAGATATTGGCTAGTAATCTCGGTCAGTAATGCAGTGCGAATTGAGTATTACAAAAACTTGAACTACATTCTAGGTGTTTTTTTTTACCAAGTCCATTTTTGTACGATGAGTTTCATCATTCCATTTTTAGGAACGTAAATAATGACGTAATGGAATTGCTGATTCTTATTTACGCATGCAAGACGTCGATGTCAAAGACGATCACTGTAATGATGCCGTATCTGCCGTACTCGAAACAGTGCCGAATGCTTCGTCGGTCATCGATTCCCATGAAGCTCATTGCCGAGATGATCTGTCGTGCGGGTATGTAATGTAAACGGTTCCTTCTGTTTCTTTCAAAGAGGATATATTGCATGTCATGCCAGCGCGTGATTGGTCATCACTGATAGTCGGCCAATCACATGCATCAGTCACTTGTAGATTTTCGCATTTTCATCCCAGCAAATGTGTAGGGTTCACTGCTGAAGTCAGCAATCATTATTTGTCCAAGTCAGACAGCGCCGTTCTTCAGGTGCGTCACGACTGGTGTCTTTGGATCTCTACAAAAAAGAAATTCAAGGATTCTTTTCAATTCCTGTAGATAATCTCCGTGCGTCACCGTTCCTTCTTCAATACATCAAGGAATATGTGAGTCCGATTACCTCTTCAGTATCAAATAATTCCGCAAACGGAAATCTCTGAGGCTTGCGAAGTGGTCACCATGAAAGATAGCTTGATTTAATTAGCGGATATTTTATTAATTTTTTTATGTATTTTCAGTTTTTGAAGACGAAAAAGTTATGTTTTTTTTTCACAGATTCCTGATTATAAGAATGCGATTATCGTTGCGAAATCCCCTGGTGTAATGAACAAGGCGACTTCATATGCTGATCGACTTCGACTTGGTAATGCTTCTTTTCCGTTGCCTCCTTGGCCCTCTATTATGGAATTTAGTATCTTCTTTCACTGTTGCGAAGCGGTGAATTCATATCTTCTTCCCAGAACTTCTTACCGAATGTGCCGGATTTTCTAAATTCTTTACAGCTTTAGGGAGTGAGTTTAACTTATTTGACATGGGCGGCAGGTATGATTCAATTAGCGCGGAAGTGTTTTTTGTTCCAATAATTTCCTATTGTGTTTGAGAATCAAGGTAAATGAGGTACAGCCCTGGTACAATATTTATGTTTAAGAGTTACAGTCATGATTCCCACTATTGGCAATCGTGTGTGAGGCGGTAATGATGAGTCGCGCGCGGTCGCGTTGGGCGAATAACACTGCACAGTAACAGCGCTTTCTTGATGATAATCGCCTCAGACACGGCTCTCGGTGGGAAATGAGCTGTAAAGTGGAGCGTTTTTGATGTAAAATTTTTTTAAATGTAATTGACTAAGTACTGCCTTAGGCAGCGTTCATGCTTCGTTTTTCTAGCAAGCCGCATTCGCGCGGCGCATGATCCTAAGATCCATAGTAGCCATGTGCTGCGACGGTGTTGTCAGTTTCGAATTGATATGAAAATATTCATCAGCGCGCGCGTTGTGGAAACAATCTATTATCGCGTTTTTTCACGTGCTCCAGCAAATTGTTCCTTCTACTACGAGCTCTTGTGTTCGGGCCTATGATCGAAGCCAACACTACCAGTCTTTGTTGAGAGAACATCTAAAAGCATGGAAAAACAAAAAAATCAACGCTAACAAAATACTGAACACCGGCGCAGCTCATTGCATCTTGATCTTGCAAGCATGCGTTGCAGAGCGGGCGTCTTGCACGAAGACAGGCTTGGCGCAGTCTGAGGACTGCCGTAAAACTAGCACAATGACTCTGTAGGCATACCTCATTTATATTTTCACTTTTCTAGCTGCTTTTCTTTGCACTCACCTAAGCTGAGAGTTGAAAAGTTTACTAATAAATCTAATGCGGATTAATATTTTAAACTTTTTTTTACCACTGTTTTTGAACAGTCATCGTGAGTGTATCAACATTAGGTCGTCAGCAGCAAAATTAAATGAGCAGAATAAGACCATCGTTGGTACCACTCGGCGAAGCGGCGCGTATTGCGGGAGCGCTCGCCTTCACCTTTCACGGCCAATTGTCTTTAGGCGTTTCTTGGAACTGCAAATACTAGTGTTAACTTCCCTGTGATCCTTGAATTGACAATTAGTTTTGTCAGGAGACGTGGTAGGCAGGACATGGTTTATATTGGCAGCACGTAATAGTACTAATTTTCATTATGAGTGAAGGGTCCCAAAATAGGTTCATTCCCCTGAAATCGGTTGCTCTGTGCGCCCCGCATACGCCCGCCGCTCAACATGGAGGTCACGTGTGTGCAACGTTGTATTGATCTAACTTGGTTTTGACAGTAGTTAATGGAATTAGACAAGTAGAGAGTGCGAGCCATACCTTATATACTAATACAGTGTAATCGACCCTGTGACCCAAAAGTTCGCCTTTGCAATACATGGAAATTTGGAGACTTATGGCATACTGAATTGAATACATTCGTAAAGGCCGTTGCGTGACCGCTCGCTTATTTCCCTGGTATTGCTCTCGCGAAGTAGGTTGTGGTGGCACCTATAGACGCAAAGGATGACTTTTGATTTCTGAGATAGGCTGTCTCCACCTTCCTGTGTGGTCACAGTTACACTGTCCTCCTAATTCTATCTCGTCTGTTCTGATCTGAGTGATGAGGTTGTGTTCAAATAGTTTCCCTTGCACAACCATTGGTCCGTACACAATCAGAATCACTGTTTAGGTGTTGCGGTGATCCACGGCGAACAGAAGGATTCCGAAGAGTCGGGTCTCGAGGATGGCCGGCAGAGTCCACCGCCAAATTATGCACCGTTCGAGCTATTTCCGTGTAAGTTCGGATTTCGTGACTTAGTTGTTTCATAATTCCCTGTGGTTAGGCAACTACCGGGCAATGTATGCTTCCTTTTTGGAGCGTTATGTTTTGTGTTTTTAGCCCAGGAACCAAAGCAGAAACCTCCTTTGACTGTGGTCGGAGATGTTGGAGGACGTATTGCCATAATGGTGGTAAGTGCATCAAGATGTTAGGTTTAGTGCTGTTCTCTCTTCTGTGAACTTATCAAAGAAATAATATAACAAAGGTCACTAAGCGATGTCACGCACATATTTGGTCTTGCCGCGCATGCGCTTGCTGGATGGAGCTAAATTGTTTTGCACTCTAACGCCCTCATCCGGCGTGTGCTATGCATGCATTTCTACGGGTTCACCAGGGTGAATAACGGTCGAGGATTTCCTCGACCATAGCTCTCTACCATGCGAGAGTAGTGCCGAGAGTGAACATCCGCGCGGAGAGCACAGACGGCACGCGCATGGCGAGTGTGAATGTCCGCGCGAGAGATCGTGTCTGATCGGGCAGAGAATCCTCGACGTGCCGTTGAGGAATCCTCAAGCGATATTCACCCTGGTCCCACAGTGTGACAATCAATTGCCGCTCGCGCGACTTGAGCAAATGTGTTCGACGTCGCGTGGCGACCTATTGTCACTCAGTTGGCAAGGTACGAACGTGTCGTGCAACGCTAAAGATAGTTATGGCCTCGGGTACGGTTCAGCGCGGAACATTTTTCGCTGCAGGACTCCTAGGTTTCTGTAACGAAAATTGTTTCGCGCTTCGAAACGCGAAAAGTCGGTTTCTGTCCTAGTGAACCAAACCCACGCCACATGGCCTCCACCATACCTCATAGTGAGAGAGATGTAGCTTGTTTATTCCTGCTTTCTGTAATTTGTCAAGCCTTGACATTATAGGATGACATCATTGATGATGCCCAATCGTTCGTGGCTGCTGCCGAAGTGTTGAAAACTCGTGGAGCATACAAGATCTATGTTATTGCTACTCATGGTGTACTAAGCTCGGATGCTCCAGCTCTTCTCGAAGCCTCACCGATCACTCAGGTAAGAGCTCCAACGCCTAATGTTCCTGTTCTGTCTCTATTTAGTTCGAAAGGGTCGTAGTTGTTTTTTTTTCGAAATGAATGACATGTGTCCTGGACCATCAGAAGGGTTACATAGTAGCCGGAAGCTAGCAGTGCTGACCGCACAACAACCGCGCGCTTCTCTGCAAAGTAATCCGCTTACGGATGTTATGGGTGGCTGAAGTACAGCCCGAAGCGTTTTGGACTACAATAATCTGTAATCTGCTGTTCAGGTCATCGTCACGAACACTGTACCACATGAAGTACAGAAGATGCGCTGTCACAAGATTAAGACAGTCGACATCTCGCTGATGCTTTGTGAAGCAGTTCGTCGTATTTATCACAATGAGTCGATGGGACAACTGTTCCGTGACATTACTCTTGATGACTAGTAATGTTACTTGAAGGCGGTCAAATTTAACTAGTATAGTGTACTCGTGTATAGTAACCGTAGAACTCAATTACAATCCCATTTACTGTTCGAGCTTTCTTACCTCACGACACTAACCAATAGTTTGTTATTGTGGCATAGTATTTAAAAACTTGAATCCAAATTTTAACGATTTCACTTAATTGGCTTTTGTTTGACTAAAAATTAGTCCTTTCAGTACTGGCTTTGTCGCTAAGTCAAATTACGCTCAGTTACAGTATTCTAGTATTTGATGATGTATTATTTACTATTGTGGCAATTCTATGTTGTTTTCTATGGCGAGTTTCGTCTTTATTTAGTCATCACGAATAATCGTCGCTATTCTCACTTTGTTGGAATTCCGATGAAAGCCTTGAGCATTTATCGTAAAAGTTACTTTACTTTCTTTGAATGCCTAATGATGCGTGTATAACGTGAAATAGGGTCGAATTGTCAGGCTATGTGTGCATGTTTTTTTTCTGGTGAAATGAAATTATTTCAATTCATATATGGTCTCATGCAGAATTCCTGAGTCGTCGTAGTAGATATAATCTCACCCTGTGTCAAACATGACTCGCTCAGGGAAGCCCTAGCAATCTAATCCGGCGCGACTCGCGCTTACTTCCGAGCAGGGAATAGGGTAGTGCTGTTCAGATCACCGCGATCCTGGCACTCGACCCTCTCCTTCCAACTGGACCTAGTACGACTCTCACCTTGTTCCCTCTCGCCGAAGATTCCTCAACGTGCGCTTACCCCTGGTACCCCTGGTACAAAGGCTCCATGGCACAGGATAACTCATCCAGCAGTGGCGTGACCCTAGAGGACTAAATGGGCGTGGCGTTTGATAGGTGTAGTTGAAAATCGGCGCTAAAAATTTTGAGTAACCAAAGTGACTGAGGCAATGACATGGAGGCTCTGGTAGCGAACTCGGGAACCCTGTGGGGTACGAGTGAAAAGTGGGGGTATGTACAACGAACAATTCATAGAAGCTCGGCTTATTTTTGCGGCTACTTATCGCATTCAGGCCATAAATCGTGGACACCCTCTGCGCCCTTTGTCACCATCTCTGCAAGAATTACGTCGGCGATTACGCTTGAAGTGTGCTTTGAAAGCAGTGGGGCGTGCCGGCTGTTTTGGCAGTATCCATGAGACTACTCTGCCCTCTTCACTGGTGACCCATAGCCTATAGAAGGTGAGATCTTATATCATAGAGCATTCCCTTAGCATGATCCCTACACTTACGATGTCCCCAGCTTGGGGCTACAGAATACGGGAATCCTTGGAGAATTTCGCAGTTTCACCTATTCTCAACAAAATTTCAGAAAAAAAAAACCGTTTCACTCTTCCTGAGGAGATTCAGGAAACATAGAATGTAGCCTGAAATGCAAAGACAGGTGTTCTGGGCTCTTCATTTGAAGTGACCTTGTGGATTGGTGCGAAAATTTTGTACAAATAGTTGGGATTTCTCGAAATCCTCTTGAGTATGCGGCAATAATTGATCCGAGAATCCATCCGTCACATTTCCTGCGTTATCTCAGCTGATGGAAATTGATGGGAGTTTGAGAGATTGGCTGAACGACGAAAATCGTTGATTATTCATTTCCACTGCTTCGACTTTCTCCTCACTACAATCCTTTAGAAAAAGTGCAAAGTGCAATTGGCCGAAAAAGTTGCTAAAGAGGCTGATAAAAGTGGCGTGATAAAGGTTTTTTAGCATCAGCTATTCCAACTAGTTTTGTGACTGGTGTATGTCGTTTTTCTTCTACTATTTTAAGTGGCAGTAATGTCTGCCTTTCCATCGAATTCTTATGTATAGTGGATGTTTATGAAATTATTTAATACAATTATAAAATATGATAATATTAATAATAGCTGCAATATTGTTTTTGTTCCGCCTGGGCGAAGTTATTTCATACTTAGCAATCCTGTGAGGCACCGAAAAATCTACAATAGCTTATATATTTTAATGGCCGTTTTCTCATCGGCGAGAAGCTTTTTCGGGGGGGGGGGATGATCATTCTTGCGATATTACTCGACGGTTACGACCAAGTCGCTTAGTCTCTGATAATAATAATAATAATACAATAATAATAATAATATATTATAGGAATAATAAATAATAATAATAATAATAATAATAATAATAATAATAATAATAATAATAATAATAATAATAATAATAATAATAATAATAATAATAATAATAATAATAATAATAATAATAATAATAATAATAATAATAATAATAATAATAATAATAATAATAACCTAATTTTAAAGGATCCTGAGCTCAATTATCTGAAATCCCAACCCAAGTAGAAAAGTTAGCCTCTATATTCAAGTAGGTCGTCTGAAAATTCTTGTTGTTTTCTTCTTCCGGTATTCGTACTTACAGGTATATATTGTGTTTCTATTAATGTATTGCTCATGAATATTTTTCTTACGCTTTTTTTTCCTATTTTTAAACCGTGGACATAACTTTTGGTTTATCTCGTTTGTTTATCAGAAGGATCCATCTACTGGAGTAATCATAATTATTTTATTGAAATATCGTAATATTGTTCCACTGGCCGTACTATTCTTATCACCTGTATCACCTGTCGTCCCGTTGATCATCGAATTGCTCGAGCGGGCGCCAGCAACGTCTCCATTCGTCCCTGTCGCGTGCAAGAGTTGTCCAGTGGACCCTCCTCGCTCGAGGGACACGATGTCCTTCATTCCTTTCGTTCAGAGCTTTCGTGAAGAAGTCTGACCATCGGGCCGGCGGTCGTCCAGGTGTTCGTTTGACGTCCCGAGGGATCCAGTCGGTAACCGCTCTGGTCCAACGGTCATCGCAAAATCGCATGACGTGTCCGGCCCACCTTATCTTCGATTCCTTGGCGAAAACGGCAGCGTCCCTGATCTTCGATCGTTGGCGTAGTTCGGCACTCCGGATTCCCCTCTGCACTTGCGTGTATAGGGTTACTCCTAGCATCGTCCTCTCGACAGCGCGTTGGATAACGCTGACCGCATGCTCGTCCTGCCTGCGCAGAGTCCAAGTCTCTGAGGCGTAGGTTAGGGCAGGAAGGACAGCGGAATCGAAGAGGTGGGCACGGAGCCGGATGTTCTTCGTCTTCTTCACTACTCCCTCGATGTTCTTATACGCTCCCCAAGCCGCTCGTTTCCTCCTGCTCAGCTCTGGAGCTAGATCGTTCATCATATTGATTTCCCGACCTAGGTACACGTAGCTGGAGCATTCGGTGATGTTCGTTCCGTTGAGCGTGAATGGGGCATCAGGAACCAATCCGTTTCTCATAAACATCGTCTTCGTTAGGTTCAGCTGTAGACCAACCTTACCACAGGCGCAGTCGAAATCAGCCAGCATTCGCTCCGCTTGCTCGATGTTCGGCGTTATAAGAACGATGTCGTCAGCAAAACGAAGGTGGTGTAGTTGCCGGCCGTCGACCTTCACTCCCATGTCTTCCCATTCCAGTTGACGCATGACGTTCTCGAGAGCGGCGCTGAAGAGTTTGGGCGAGATGGTGTCGCCCTGTCGAACCCCTCTCTTGACGTCGATGATGACCTCCTTGTAGAATGGTGAGATTCTGGTCGTAAAGTTGCTGTAGAGCTCACGAAGAATCTTGATGTACTGAGTAGGGACGCCCTGGTTGCCCAAGGCTTCGATGACCGCTTCTGTCTCCACAGAGTCGAAGGCCTTCTTCAAGTCGATGAACGTGAGACAAAGCGGCATCTTGTACTCTCGTGAAACTTCAATGAGTCTTGTAACCGTGTGGATATGGTCGATCGTGCTGAACCCTCTTCGAAACCCTGCTTGCTCGCATGGCTGTCCTTCATCTAGTATTCTGCCGATCCTGTTAAGGATGACTCGAGTGAATAGCTTGTAGATTACAGACAGCAGGCAGATTGGGCGATAGTTGCCAATGTCGTCCAGGTCTCCCTTCTTGTACAGCAACACGGTCCTGCTGGTTTTCCACGGAGTGGGTACCTTGCATTCCGACAGGTAGCGCGTGAAGAGTCGAGCCAGAGTTTTGATGATAACTGGCGGCGCATTCTTCAGATGTTCCGGTTTGACCCTGTCGAGACCGGGTGCTGTACGATTCTTCACCGACTTGATGGCGTGTCGGACTTCGGAAGAGAGAACTGAGGGGACGACGTATCCATCCTGTTGCAGTTGATAAGTGGGCAGATGGACATGGCTATCGAAGAGATCCGAGTAGAAGTCGTGGATGACTTTCTCCATTGCCCTTCGGGATGCAGTAACTGTTCCATCCGGACGTCGGAGGCAGGTCATCTTGGTCTTGTAGCTGGCAAAGCTTCGGCGGGCATTGCGGATGCTCCTCCCAGCCTCTGCTGCTTCAGCTAATACTGCTGCTCTTCGCTCCTTGAGATCTTCCTTTATCGCCTCTCTGCATAGCTTCGCAAGCTCGGACGTGAGTCGGTGATTGCCTGCAGCTCGTGCGGCTCCACGCTGGCGTATCAGTTCGAGAGTTTCCGGAGACAGACGTCCCTTGGTGACTTTCAAACTCTCTGCCTTCTTGCCACAATCGTGAAGATGTTCAACGAGCCGATAGTACTCCTCGTCGATGTTTTCGATGACGGAATCCTCCCATAAGCTGACGAGGGAAGCGAAGTGGTCCCAGTTGATGACTGTCCTGGGGCTTCGCTTCCTGAACTTCGAGGCTCTCTCAACACGCATCGAAAAGTGGAACTTTGCGCGGAGGAGACGATGGTCCGATCCCGTGTAGAACTTCGGAACAACAGCGACGTCGGTCAGGCAAAACCTTCGATTGAAGATGATGTGGTCTATCTCGTTATGGAACTGTCCATCAGGTGACTCCCAAGTCCAACGAAGGTGAGGGGCTTTTGGAACTGTGAGTTACCATGGATGGTGTTGGTCGACATGATAAACTCCGACAGTCTCTCACCCCTGCTCATTCCATTCCATTCCGTGAGTACCGATGTGAAGTTCTTCAGCCGTTCTTC